GCTTTCTCTAAATCACCGCCATGTTTTTTTCTTTCTAACATTTCCCTCTTTACAGACAAGAGCTTTATCAGAAAAACTTGAGTGTGTGAAAGCTGACAAAAAACCCCCACAGGCTGACAATTTGGACAACCTGAAGCACAAAGTTATGTCTCTCGTTGAGGAGCAAGCTCAGTTGCAGGAGACGCTGGAGAGATTAAATCAGGAGAAAAATGAGTTAGCAGTAAAGCTGGAGGATGCGGCAAAAACACATCAAGCAGAGGTTTGTTATCTGGTACTGTAAGGTTGTTTTTACAAGTCGACACATTGAACTTGACTAAACAAAGGCATTGACTGTTCAATTCTTGCAGAAAATGCACTTAATTGAGAAATTCAAAGTGCTTGAATCTGTTCTACCAGTTGAGAAGGAAAGCAGAGATCAGAGCTCCACAGAGGACTTGGAGAACCTGACGTGCAGAGTGATATCTCTCAGTGAAGAGCGAGCTGGGTTGCAGGAGACACTGGAGATACTAAAACAGGAAAAAGATCAGCTTGTAGCAAAGCTGGAGGACCTAACAGAAAAATATCAAGTGGAGGTTTGTTTCATTCATACTGTAAGATTTGTTTTCAAAAATTGACTCAACAAAGGCATTGGCTCTCATTTTCCTTGGTAGAAAATGCATTTAGCTGAAAAACTCGACCTAGTTGAAGCTGAGAGAGACGTTCTACAGGCTGAGAAGGAAAGCAGATTTCAGAGCGCCGCTGATGAAGTGGAGAAGCTGACCTGCACTGTGATGTCTCTCAGTGAAGAGCGAGCTCAGTTGCAGGAGACACTGGAGAGACTCAATCAGGAGAAAAATCAGCTCGCGGCGAAGCTAGAAGACGTGACAGAAATATTTCAAGCTGAGGTTTGTTGCATTGTAAACACTATATGCTTGCTTTTAATGTTGTTGTGCAACTGACTAAACGGAACAATGTTTTCTTTGCAGAAAATGTGTTTAAATGAGAAAATCAAAGGAATTGAAGCTGAGCAGGAAAGTAGATGTCAGCGTTCTTTTGAGGAGCTGGAGAAGCTGAATTGCACACTGAGGTCTCTCACCGAGGAGCGAGCTCAGTTGCAGGAGACGTTGAAAGAACTTGAATGGGAGACAAAACAGCTCAAAACGGAGCTGCAGGACAAGCTAAGCATGGTACAGTTTTGTAGTCGTGTTTCATTGTAATTCAAAGCCAGTTGCTTGTTCAAAATATAAACTCCTACAGACCATTTTTGAAGCGCTACATTATTGTTGATCGTCAATCACAGGCCTCCACAATGCAAGAGAGTATGATTGAGCAGAATCAGTTAAGTTTGCTACAACAGGCTGAGGCGACAAAAATGGAGACCAACCTTCGACAGGAGGTAGGTCTCTGTCATGGGCTTTTTTAAACTTTGTGCAGATCAGTTTTGACAGATTACAAAGAATAGGGCATGTCCATCTTCATCAAAACATGCAACAGTAAATATTTTCTTTATCTTCTAAATGCTTTCAGTAAGGGTAGTCTTAACAAGTTCTGTAAATGTTTCCCTCTGCCTCCAGGTACAGCAGCTGGAAGAGCAGCTAAACACATTAAAGCAAAATGAAACGGTGGTTCAAGCGGAGGCAATCGCATCACAGCAGGTTTGCTTGAACTCACTTTTTATTCTGTAATCGCAAGATACTTTACATACCGGGTAGTTTTAGGGACACACATGTTCCCCACAAAAATAAATGTTTGTTTTTGCTACTGTACAGAACATAGTGAAGTGTGCTACTCGTTTGTATATTGTTTAAATGTAAACAAGTTTGGCAAATGTATTATTGAACTGAAACACTTGGACAGATTGGCATTGCCTTCAAGGGCTTATAGCATGCTATTTTCAGCTTTTCACAGTCAACTAAAAGCGCATACAGTACTGTATATGATTATATATTTTACTTTTGTCACAATGGCGATCTAATTTCTTATGAAATCAGTTATTTTGGCGGCTATTTTTCGTGCTCGGAAATTAGAGGCCTAATTTACTAAAACCCCGCCCCTTCCTAATGTCATCCGAAAGCTGCCTGCTGTGTGCACCACCCACGAAACGGTAAATCATAATGTTTTTTTGAGGCTTACATCCAGAGTCAAGTGACAGTGTTTATACATCAGTGATGGACTATTCATTTATGCACATGGTAATGTGTATAACAAGACATGACATAACATTTTTTAATACTAGTGGGGTTTAATTATCTTACAGCTCCGGCCTCTGCAGCAGGTTTGATTGTGGGAAATTGCGCCAAATTTAAGGCTTCATCTGCCGACCAGTTCACTTTGGTACTGGCCAAGGTTCACCAGGCCTCTCAGAAATAATTGATAACAGACAAACCATTGTCGCTGGTCAGGTGGGGGCGTCACTCATAGCGCCTCTTTCCCAGCTAGTCCTGTCGGCAGTTCACGTGGCTGCTTGAAGAAAGCGAGCATGTGCGTAGTCTGCACAGGCGGTACGGGGTGGCTCCCTCAATCTTCCACGGAGCTGGTATTTAAGAATGGTTTGTCATGGGGGAATGCCCAGGCATGGCTGAATGGAAGAAAACACCACTTTCGGGGGTGGAGGGTGGTCAGGAGTTCACGTTTTTACTTGATTTGGTCTAATAATAGCTCTAAGTTTTGTCTATTTTGCACAATGTTTAGAAAAATAGAATTAAAGATAAGAAAACCTTTATTTGTCTCACAATGGAGAAATTCCCAATTTATAGCAGCAAAATTATAAAAGGGAGAAGTAGAAGAACAAAAAGTATATAAATAAATACAAATTATAAAATAGAGATATAAGCATATTAAAAATGGGTGAGTCCAGGTTTTCAGGTCTGTCTATTCAAATAGCCTTACAGCAGTCGGCAGGAATGAGCGGCGATACTTCTCCTTCTTGCAGCGCGGGTGTATCGGTCTCTTACTGAAGGAGCTGCC